CGCGCAAGCAATAGTGCCCGCTCAGGCGGGCACTATCGCTTCATAGTGCCTGCTGCGTTATCCAATGAGATTGCAGCGATTTAACCCCGTGATGCACTAATTTGGTTTATTTTAAGCCCAGTATCGATACAATACTGTTCCTAAATGTATGCTGATAATGGTTTTTATTGTTAACTCACTTAATTATTTTTAATTTTCCGTTAACTATTAATGACTCGCGACTCACCACTCAGCGTCTTTCCTCGAAGTACTAGTCTCTGTTGCTGTATGGGAACACTCAACTCTATCGCCACCTTCTCTTTGACGGCTTGGATCGAGTCGTCCGGAGACATCTGTGCAAAGAGAAGTTATTACTCTATGTTGAGTTTAGGTGGTAGTCGATATTGCCACGTAAAATACTAACATACGGACACTGTATCGAATATGGTCAGAATCATTGAAATCGGTTAATTCACTTACTATATAGGATACTATAGGATACTACGCCTAGATAACCTGATAATATTAACCAATGATCGGAGTTTGAAATTATATAGTTATGGGCCATTTGATTGAAAGGTGCAACCAGACGTTTGCAGGCTATTCCTGTGACCAGTGACCAGGCTGGTATGCTGCTTGTTAATTTGTTACGCATTTTATATATAGTAATCGTCCTTAACAGAATCGGATCTTTATTCTACACAGCGATCGACAAATAAAAGATTACAATCACACCAGTGGGTGCGCAATGCACTTAGTACCATTAATGTGCATTCCCCGCCCTGCAGCACTTTTACGGTCAGGTTTACTGCCATCTTGTTATCGCGGGTTTGCGGCGGGCGCGTTGTCCAATGCGGTGCTCTTGTTTAAACAACGACGAGATCCCTCATGTTCATATACCTGCGAAGAATTTATGTGAGCACAGCGAGGTATACAAAGGTTACGTCTAGTACTAGTATAGCCCTTGTTCGCCACAGGCCTGTACTAGAGCTAGGTTACGTCTAGAGTGGCGAACTGCTATTGACAATCAGGGGCGTACCGAGCCCTTCAACGATGTGCAGGCAGAACTGAAAAACAGGCAGGGGGTATTAGGGTCCTCCCCCAGAAATTTATTTAAATGTACACCGAGGGGGTGGTATTTGATATACTTTTGAGTACATGTACATCCTTCATTCTGACTACGACAATTTCTCTTTTAGTAGAACAATTCTTGCGCTTGCAGCGCGGCATTGATTGATGTACAGGAGGGGGGGGGGCATTGTTTAGGCCGCGTTTATTATTGAATATGTAGGTAGTGACCACCGCTGGGATGAGAGCGACAGCAAAACTTGGAATAGGCGATCGCCACAACAAACAAGAGAGCAATTTTC